AATACTTGAAGAATAGCTTTTATTTTTTTTTAACTGAAACAAAGGCCGCCCGCCACATCGTGAGTAAGTGTACAATGTGGCACTCACGTCGATCCAGCCTTTGGTCCCAGGTCTCCTTGCCGCGAAAAGTGGCAGGCCGTATGGGGCGACATCGGACAATGTGGCATGCACAAACGCCCACCGGGTCAAGTACAGGAAGACACGCGGACACATATCCATGCTTTCGGACAGCTGGCGCGCCGAAGTGGCCAGAAGCTTACAACGTGGCACCCACCCCAACATGGGCTTGGACACAGTTCTCCTTTGAGCCTAAAGTCAAGTATTACATCGGGCAAAAGGGGCTTCAGACGGAAGCAGCAAAACTGAATAAAAACAAAGGGAAAAAAAAGAAAAAAGAGGCAAGCAGCTCATCGGCCCCTATACGAGGGCGACGGCTCTCTTCAGACGCGGATGACCGTCGTTCAAACATTTGAGGAGGGGTGGGGAGCCAGAAGGTGGGGGAAACCTTTAGAACAAAGGGCCGTATCTCAACAGATCGTGACGACAAGGCCACTCTACTGCTTACAACACCCCGTTCCCTGTCTAAGTCGTCTGCAAAGGGTTTGACTCCCCGAGCGAAAGAAATTGCGATGAAGAGATCCCCAGGGCATCGGTGCTCCGCCGCAGGAGGGACAACTCCGAACTTATGCTTTCGGGGCCAGACCGGCTGGCCCTATCGACAGCCTTGTGTCATCCAAGGACGCATACGCCGTTGCTGCAAGCACAGATTCTGACTTAGAGGCGTTCAGTCATAATGCCACGCACGGTAGCTTTTCACCGCTTGCTTTTCAGCCAAGCACAATTGCCAATTGTGCGAACCAACGGTTCCTCTCGTACTCGGTTGGATTACCATTGCGACGACGGTGCATCAGTATGGAAAAACTAACCTGTCTCACGACGGTCTAAACCTAGCTCACGTTCCCTGTTGGTGGGTGATGTAGATGTAGTTTCTTAAGCGCATCAGGTCCTCGACAGGAGGCTTGCCCATGCTTGGCATTACTCCTCCATACGACCGTAACATTTGCACAGCTCTTCTGACTCGTATAGGGCATTATGATAAAAGATACCAGCGGCCCTTTGCCATTGAGCGACGCAATGGCGATCCAAGTGTTGGGAAATGGGACGGTTGCAATGGTGGGGGCATTTGGGAGGGTGGGACTGGCTTACCTTCGACGATCTGAACAGGCTCGCGAACCTTGTTGCAGTTCCTCCCCTCGGGGAGTAGGGTGCCCCGGCGTTCCAACCCGCTGGGAACGTCTGCCGCAAGGGAACGGCAACTGCCAAATTCGAATTTAAAAATTTGGGTTTGGCCTCAGGACGGAAGGGGTAGGACTTGCTGTCGCCAAATCTTCCACCCTAATCCTTGAGAGCAAGTCCTTTCGTTCCCTTCCAGCGGAAGCGGTAGGACTTGCTCTCAACATAATTGCTACTTCCACCCTAGACCTTGACAGCAAGTCCTTTCGCACGTTGAACTAGAACTAGTCTTAAAACACTTTCATTCTACGGCTCTCTCGTGCCCTCCACATCCACACGGATGCAAGGGTCAAGCTCCAAGACTCACCCCAACAAGCGAAGAGGCAAGTGGGCAAGATCACCGAGAGGCAGACAAAAAACACCCCTAACCTGCCTCACGACGATCTAAGCCCAGCTCACGTTCCCTGTTGGTGGGTGAACAATCCAACACTTGGTRAATTCTGCTTCACAATGATAGGAAGAGCCGACATCGAAGGATCAAAAAGCAACGTCGCTATGAACGCTTGGCTGCCACAAGCCAGTTATCCCTGTGGTAACTTTT